AGTTCACTACTATGCATGTAAATAGTATGTATTGCAAACATCTTCTAATAAAAAATAAAAAACCAAAAAATTTATATCAGAGTTTCAGAAAGAATGAAAAAATCCAAAAAAGTATTTCATCAGTTATATGCCTTGGAAAAGTTTTGTTTTGGTGTGTGGCTTGTCTTTTCATCATCTAAATGTGTTTTTTTGAAGAACTGTTTCAAAAATTTTGATAAAATACAACTGATCCTTTTGTTCATTTGTTGGAAGTGCTATTAATGTCATAGTTAAGAAATTATTGTCTAATTGTTGTCTAAATATTATGAAACTACTTTTCCATTTATATTTAAGTCTCTGATACATTTTATTTAATATTTGTGTATGGTGGAAAGTTTTAAATAAAAATTTGTCTTTAAAATAACTATTGCAGCAGTATTTGTTGAAAGAGTGTCTTGGACCAGGGATACAGCTCAGTGGCATAAGCACCTGCCTGGCAAGTCCAAGGTCCTGAGTTTGGTTCCCAGTACCAACTTTTAAAGAAAAGCATCTTTCTTGGTTCACTAGCTTTATAGCTACACAAAGCCAGTTGTCTATTAATTATTTAGAGGATGGATCATAAGGTGTCTGTTTCAAGGCAGTCTTGGTATCTTTACACATCCAATCCCACGCATTTGTGGAACTCTCAAATCACATAGAAGTGTCATTTTTCTATTAAATAAGTGAGTTGAAATTATTATCCATATGGAAAACATATTAATAAATGACTGCCTCATACCAGATCAGAATGATGTCAGTAGCTCCAATTGAATACAAAACTTAAATTTCTAAAGCCAAAATTTTAAGCCATTTAACGAGCAAGATTAGGGAAACAACCCCACCATCTAATAAGTGTTTGCTGCTATCCTGGTAGCTAAACAGTTATTAGAAATACAAGAAATGGAAAAAGAACTAGTAAAACTAACCAACTAGTAAAACCAATGAGAATGTATTTCTCTCAGGTAGATCCACTGATTTTAAATCAATTCATATCAGAATCCTATTAGACATTTTTGGAGGAGTGGTGGTACAAGTTTACACTCTCTCATGGTACACTGGGGCTGATATAGCAAATTAACATTGGCTGCCTTGTTTATACATAGCAGAAACGTATTTCTGGTATTTCTACAGGTTGTGAAGTCCTAGAAGGAAGGCTTGATTTCCAGTCAGAGCCAGTTCCCTGGTTTGTGAGTGGTGTGTTTTTTAGTCTGGGCTCATGGTGAAAAGCATAAACAAGCATCCTAGACATCAGTGCTGTTTATGAGGGTTCCACCTTCCCAATGCAATTACTTTACAAAGGTTTCATGTTTTAATATCGTCACCCTGTTAGTTTTTGCTTAAACATATATGTTTGGGCAGATTACAAATGTTTTGACCATACCTGACCCTAATTTTAATTTTTTAGAATAGTTTTAACTGTGCAGGAAAAATGCAACGATATCACATGATTCCATCTATTCTACAGTTTCTTCTACTACTACCCAGCTATATTAATAGTGCATTTTTATAAGTCAAAATATACACACTTTATTAATGTATGTTATACACAAGAATGGTACATGCACATCAGGTACTTTGATCCTTTCCTCCATTACCCTTTGTCCTCTCTTTCCTCCATCCCCTTCTTTATTTACTTATTTTTCTCTAAAATATATTTACAAATTTACATATATTTACATATTTTCCTCTCACTCTCTGTCAGTCACTGTCTCTATCTCTGTCTCTCTGTCTCTCTGTCTCTCTCTCTCTCTCTCTCTCTCTCTCTCTCTCTCTCTCTCTCTCTCCCAGTTATTCCCAGATACATTTCTTTTCTTATTGGCTTACTCTTCATAATATGGTATTCTTCAATTCCATCCATTTTGCTGCAGTTGGCACAATTTCATTCTTCCTAATCACTAAAAATGCTCCATTAATTAGTGGTCAAGTACTTGCCTAATATACACAAGGCTATGAACTCAATCTGCAGCACCGGCACCATATGAAAAAAAGAAGGAAGGAAGGAAGAAAAAAAGAAAGAAAGAAAGAAAGAAAGAAAGAAAGAAAGAAAGAAAGAAAGAAAGAAAGAAAGAAAGGAAGGAAGGAAGGAAGAAATCCAAAGAAATAAAGACAAAAAGAAGCAAGCATCTACTTTACCAGTCACAACTCTACTCAATTCTATAGTCTACTAAAATTCATAGTTTATTCAGATTTCCTAGTTTTTATCTGTGTTCTTTTCCTAGTGCAGAGCGCTATCTCTGTTATATTAGCCTCACTTGCTGTGTTTCTGCAGGGTTCTCTTGGTCTGATAGCTTTTCTTTGTTTTGCATGACTTGGATAGTTCGGTGGCACCAGCCTAAATGCTGGACTGGGCAGATCTGTAAATTTCCTGCTAGCTAAGATGGTAAACTAGACCATAGTCTCATGATATCAGAGACTTCTGCTTCATACTTTTAGATTCATTTGTTTGCCACTGAGCATATAAAATGGGATCGTTTATTTTAGTGAAACTGAAAAAACGATTTATCCCACGCTTTCTCTGAGAAGATGGAGAGGCCCATTTTCCTCACATCACCATCTCACTGGGTACGGGTGAGTAAAATATCTTTCATGTTAGGGAACAGAGTGAAAGGGGACTCTGGTAAAGGTTGTCTCCAACCTAGCTTCATCGACTCCAGCTGTCCTCAGCTTATTCTCCCCTTTCTTGTGGAAAGGGAACTGGCTCCATCCTCCTGGGGTCAGCGTAGTCCATTCTGTCACTGTTTTGTGACCGAGCAGTGGTGAGGATATTGATTGTATGGTCAACAGTAAAAGGTTGGAGAATTTACTCATTTTTAAAAGAGAAAATATAACTTAAAATTCCATTATGTATTGCCAATTCCAAAGATAATTTCTAAGAAACTGCACAAAGCATTTTCCTATGTAGGCACATTCTACTGATGCTTCAGAAACATTCTTAATGCCTCTGTACACAAATAATCCCAAATGATAATTGGTTATCATATGTCTCTGAATGTTGGTTTAAAGGTTTGTCTTCTTCAATGAACTGTGAGGTAATTTTGTTCATAAAATTACCAGCATCATGAAAAGTGTTTGGTATGAAAAGGGCTGCAATAAATACTTTTATAATTAAGAGAATGAAAAAAATTTGAGATCTTGGGAGAAGATCATGAGTTCTTTGTTAATTTACTTTACAATGTTTGATATATTATCTCTTCCAAATACACAATTGGATAAAACTTGCAAGCATTATGTACAGAGCATTACCATGCCACCTAATATAAACTCTTCTCTCCTTACCCTTTTGCTTTGGAATTCTGGGCATTCTTTATAGTGTAAGATCATATAATTCCCCTGAACTTCCTTTACAATTAGACATTATTGGCATATTTTATATATACATAACAATTACATTCACCATAGTTTGTACCTGTACATGATACAGCTTGTTGCTTTTTTTCCTTTCCCCTTCCTTCCCTTCAACCCCTCTTCCCTTCTTCATTTACAAATCCTTTATTCCCATTTTTTCCTTTTTCACTTTTCTTGTTACTTTTTTCCCTTCTTTCCTTTTTGACTGCTCCATCTCTTGTTCTCCTCCCTAATTGAACATTTTCTTCCTATTTCACAATACTGTGATCATATTTACACTTTTGGTTTCTCACACAAGAGAAGCAATGTGGTGTTTACATGTGTGTGTCCAATTTAATTCACTTAAGAATATGGTCTCTAGGTGCACCTATTTACCTAAGAATGTCTCCAGCGTATCCTTCTTTTATCAGAATAGTAATCTATTGTATAAACCTCCTCACTCACATTTCCTTTTCTTAAAATTTTAGTTAAAGGAAAAAAAAAACCCAAAATAATATAAGGGTACAAGTAATACAGAATTTAAAAAAAACAGTAAGATATTACTAGTTAATAGATTACATATTATCATCTTAGAAATAGTTGTTCAAGTTACAGGATTAAAGCATACAAAGTAGACTTTCAGTCAGTGAGACTGCAAACAGTTGTGTTCAATGATCCAACAAAAGCTTAGTAATATGGTCATCTATCTTACACACCTAAAAACACTTGCAGTTGTATCCTTTACAGCACTTTCTTTTCCTCTCTTTTTTACAATAACATTTACACATTTTGGGTTTTATTACTCCTGTAGTTCTTATTACTCTTTTTTTGGAAGAGAATAAAACCAAATATGAGAAAACAAATCAGTAAGTCAAAACAAAGGATGGACATAGTACATTATGTAAAAACAGAATACAAGGTAATCAAAAATGGTTACCATAATGCCTCTTGCTACCTTAAAAAGAATTGCTTTGAGTCTTGAGTCTTGAGATTAATAAATTGCTGAAAAGACGATTGAATGCACAGAATAGAGAAACATTTCTCTATTTGTTTGTTTAACATTTATTAACGTCAAAATATATTTCTTTAGTTATAATGTGCTTCTGTTGTTCTATGTGTCTTTTCTTGCTTGGATAGAGCTGACTTTCTTTGCAAGGAGTCTCCTGATATTTGATGGCTTTTGTGATTTGCATTTTTTTTTTTTTTTTTGCAATGATCAGTGCCTTTGGCCTGTACATTGGCCTCTGGCTATGCTCTTGGTCCAAATTTATCTGGTGAGTTTCAGTAGGCAGGTACAATTGCTGAGAACCCTAAAGTAAAAATTCTTTTCCTGTTCTAAAATTGTTTCAATGTGGTAAGCTTTCATTTTTCTTCTTCTGCTTTTTGTTTTGTTTTGTTTTGTTTTGATACTAGCAATCAAACTCATGACCTTACACTTGGCAGGCAGGCACTCATGCCGCTGAGCTAAACCCCTGGTCCTAAGCTTTCATTCTTGGCAGCATATGCATGAGTCATTATTCACATATTACGGTAAATGCCTGTACATAGAAGCTAAACTCATAACTCAATATTAAGAAACAATCCAATAAATGTTGGCTTAAGATTTAAATATGTATTTTACCCTGGTAGATGTGCGAATGATAAAAAACTCAAGAAAAGATATTTACATCCTTTACTCACAGAGAAATACAAATTAAACTTATAAATATCATATGGCCTTAGTAAATGGTTTTGCCGACACACAATTCTAAATAGTAGAAGGATATGAGCATATGGAACTTTTCTGTATCACTGGTAGGAATGCAAAATGGCACAACTTCTTTGGAAAACAGTCTGGAAAATTTTTACTCAGAGGAAATCGAGAGTCAAAGATTGCATTTGCCAATGAGCAGAGAAGTACTGGGTGTGGTGTAGGTAGGAGATGTACACTCATAAGATACAGTTCCATTTCTTAGTACACCATGCTGTCTTTCTCTTAGAATATCATGTATCATAGGATAATTCACAACACTTCATACAGAATCATGACTTTATTTACTATTTCAACCAAATGGGTATGGTCACTCTGGAAGTTTGTAGAAGACTCTACATTTGAGTGAGTTGCACGCAGAAGATGTGCAGAACCACGGTTCTTTAGTCCTCATCAGAAATTCCCGTGCTCTTTTACTTCACCAGTTTACACTTGGAGGTGTGTATAGATTATCTTCATGTGAAAGGAGAAGAATTTGTGAATCTGTGGCACCTCATTTTCATGTTTCCATCATCTCAATCATTCAGAGACACCCCAAAACACACTTCCATGGGTCAGGGTTTTTATAAGGAAAAATTATTGTGTTCATTTTGTTGAGGACGTGGTAATCTCATAGTAGAAAGACAAACATTTTTCTTTTCACAAATACAGTGTGTTAATTTGGAACAGTCAAGAGCAGTCACCTTTGTTGGCGTTAGACTTCCACAGTTTCCAATCTCTGAGTCTTTCCAAGCACTCAAAGTGAAATAAAAGGAAGTAAATGTTGTAAAATATACATTCAGTACTGCAGACATAATAGAACATGATAACATCCAAAATTAGGTTGATGTATTTTGTTTGCCATAGAGACTAAATGTCAGTGCCCAAATGATCCTCCACATCACCTTACCAGAACTTAGGTGTAGAATTAAAGGTAAAAAAGCTTTTTTTTCTGCATGGCCTCACCTCTGTAGCCAAATTATGTCCTTTGGGAGTGTATGTTTATAAGTGTGCCAACCTATTGCTTTAGATATATATGTGTGTGCATATACAATGTACATATTTTACCTATATGCCTTTGGGACTGTACACCAGTTCTGGAACTTATTAGCTCTTATCCTATTGGAGAAACTTACCTTGTAAGAAAGGGTGTTGATTTATCTTCCCATGTCCAGTGTCTACTGATTCCTTCACGAGACAACCCAATCCAAGTGAAATAAAATACTTGGCTTTGAATAAAGTTCTGTAATAAATAGAATATTATGTATAGATAGGAATATATTTATGTTCCTGAAATGAATAACTAAGTTTGTTAAGATTTTATACTTAATGTAAATATAAGGTGGGGTTAAAAGTTTTAATCAGATACTTTTAAGGACATAAAATAATGAAATATCCTTTATTTAATCTATACTACATGTGGAAGCATAAATAAGACCAAAAAATAGCTTTGGGTTTGGTCACATGTATTGGAGCTCATCTAAAATCTGTATGGCTCAAACATGAGTTTTGAGTAGTCTGATTTTGGGGCCCAGGTATAGTAGTTATGAAATTTCTAGCAATATTGTTTTATATTTTTGTTCCACAAGTACTGTGTTTATTCTCTGTGAAACAGGCATTTTAGAATGTATCATTTCCCCATCCAATGAGATGGCTTACCTGAATGATCATGTGACTACTATGAAAATAGCTGATATTCATCCAGCTATGTCTCACTTAAGGACAGAAGCATGTTCTAAGTGATGCATCATTAGGTGATTTCTTTATTGGGGAGAAACCATAGAGGGTACCTCCCTAATCTCAGCTTGATATGAAGCCATTAGGCCACGTGGTTGTTTGTGATTATCATGCATCATTGATTGCAGAAACTTCATTATTTACATGACTGTATGTTACACTTTACAACGCCTTGAATTACGTATTATATTATTTGATCTTTACAAATATGTTGGGAAGAAAATTCTGCCAGTTTTATACCCATTCCTCGGTTTTTCCAAGTTCAGAGACTGATATTTTGTGAAAGATTTAAAGGAAGTTTTTTGACTATGGTTCCATATCTATCCATAGTTCTTTATTTCATTTTTCTTTTTGTTTTCTAATCGTTTGAAAAGATGATGAAATTACAAATCATCTGTTCTCCCAAAATGCATATATGCATTGAGAAATAACATTTGAAATTCAAATGGATTTTCATTGATGATTTAATTTTCAATAGAGATATGCTGCAAGAAAACTTAGGAAGTCCAGATTTGGCAGTTCTCATACTGTGTATCTAGGAATTCTAGGCTATCGTCTCTTACATCAAAGACATGTTATTAATTATTTAGTTGAAAGCCTTCTGTGATAGCTTTCTAACGTTCTATATCTCCAAACAGGTCACATATAAAGAGAGGCACAGCCCCTCCCAAGAAAAAAATGTTCCATAATCTAATACATTTTACTTCTTTTGTAACTTTCTGTAATAATTCTGGTGGCATACATAGATTTGCATAAATAATTCCTGAAATTTTATTACTGTCCATATAAATCCCATGATTCTTATGCAAGCAGATTATAAGATTTTTATATATTAAAGTATTATTTATTTTAAAGACAAACTTCATATTCATATCACTTGATGGCTACTTTTAAATACATTACAATTTCATAACTGATTTTAATTTTATTTTTAAATGTCTGGTATCTTTATTCCATTGGTAGCAATTCCTTCTAAGCCAGAAGACCCTAGATTAATTCAGCCTCTATACATGTCTTTTTTTGGTGTCAAATTTTGTTTGTTTTTGTTAATATTTTAAAAGGCTATTTCTGAATTGTTGAAAGACATCTATGTGGAAAATTGAACTAGGTCAGAGAGGCTGAATAATTTTTAGTGTCCACTTGCCTATTTTTTTTTAATTATTTAAAGCAAAAAACAGAAAAGGGGTAGAAATAACACATAATTTCAAAAAAAGTAAGACATCAATAGTTTATGAAATACATATTGTCATCTTAGAAGTAGTCTTAACCCCCCCCAAAAAATAGGATATATTTCTTCTTTAGCAAGAATAATTACAAATTATTTCTATATCTTGTTAATAAAATTTCAAAGCAGGAAAGAATTATTAGTATATTGAAATATATTACTATACAATACCCAATTTCCTATGTAAGATAATATATGTTCAAAATTAACTTTAAGTAGTGTTAATATTTTTTTGTCTTTTGAGATAAGGTCTTGCTAAGCAGCTCTAGCTGGTGTTACATTATGACCCAGGCTACTGATCTCAAACTCAGGACAATTCTCCCTCCCTCAGCCTCCTGAGCACTGGGAATACAGGGGAGTGCCAACATGCCAGGAAAATTAATTGATTTTTAATGATAAATTTATCATGAGTTTTTTCCTTTAACCTCAGACTCAGTATTTACCGTTTTTCCTGAGATTGTCGCAAGTATAAACCTTTCATAGAGCGCATGTTGCTAAATTTCTATATACTACTCAACAAGAGATATACAGAATGTCATCAAAAAGAAGGATGAGTGTTTCAGCATTTAAAAAATATTATAGTAAAGACACGTTGCTGTTAATCTCCTTTATAATACTCTCCTCACTTCAAACACATACCCCACTTTCTTCCCATTTACTGAAACAGTATTTAAAGTACCTTCTCCTGTACTTAGTTGTGTGGTCATGGCTGCTTCAGGGCTCTGTTAATTAAAAATATTTAACTTTTATAGTTGTTTTGATTTTGGGGGAAAGCTGAAGTTTCATGATGCCAAACTCAGTGAATGAGGGAGACCAGGGCACTCCACAATGTTTTCCCATGTCTGTTTTTCGTTGAAGGACACTGAGCATCAGCAGCAGCAGAATTCACCCTCTTTTTGACCATACCTTGTAAATGTATTCATGAAATAGGACTTCACAATTGCTTCGGAAAGTGACAAGAATAATGGAATAATTGTGTTTGAAACAAAGATGACTATTTTGAAGATGAAAAATGTCAGTGTCTTTTACCATAACTGTATTTCAATTTCAACATTTGACTCGTATTTTGATTACCTTTTATACAAATTACTTTCTTTGTTTCTCTTGATATTAGATGGGAAATGAGCAACATGTTAACAAAGTTAGTGGGAGCTGCATCTCTTGCATGTGGCATGAAAACCCAATCATCACACTCATGCACTCATGAAGGGCTTTGTACAACTTTAATGGACAGAACATGATCTATTTTAAGGATAACTTTTTCTGATGACTTAATGTTTGATCTATAAAAAGTGTACTATAGAAATTTTACTTGTGGATGAATGAGATGAAATTACTAATTTCTTATATTATTTCTGTTTGTATTTCTAACGTTCAACTGGACTCCATTAAATATGTGTCTTTTTACTTGAATGTTATTAGGAAATAAACAGCTTATTAATAATGTAAAACTAATATGGTGTGAAATGCAAAACAAAATATACATCACCAGTTCCTGTGGGTCTTCTATCTTGAGAAGTGTGGAATCCATTTCTTTGCAGAATTTCCTACTGTCTTCAAAGTTCTTTACTTTCGTTGAGAAATAATAACAGCTCTGTCCACAACATGACCATTTATCTTTATATTCAATATTTTCTCCTGCTTGAAAACAAAAGACTTTCTTCAGAGACCATTCATGGTGAATCCTGAGAGGAATATGATGGCCTGGGAAATAGCAAGATATTTTCTAGTTCTTCTAAAATCATTACAGTTTTTGAGATGAATGTGTTCTATTTTTACCTTTGGAAAGAACCCTGGCCTAGGGATGACATCACATTAGTTATGTCTCTCCAAGTTTATGTGCAGCACTGTCCACATTTTCTAGGAAATGATTTTTTTAAGATATTGTTATTGTTACTCATAACCTTCATAGGAAAGACATTCCATTGGGAAGAAATTCTTCATATTTTCCAGAACAACAGCTAGTTTCTAAGTGTATCTTAGCTTTAGTTTCCAAGCTTACCTCTACTTAGTTCTTAAACTAAGTATGCATAGTAAATGACAAAAAAAAAGAGAGAGAGAGAGAATATGATAAGCGATCTTAGAGGGTGATTTTGATAGCAAATGTTTTAATTTGAGCAATTGTGATGTAAAATAATATAATAACATACACAGAGAAAACTTCTCTTCCAGATTTCTGACACTTTTAATTGCATAAGAATAAAAGTTGGACTTCATTAGTTTCTATAAGAAAACTCAAATTGAGAAGAAGTGGAGGATGAGCCAACTGAGAAGACCCTTGTCAGTCTCTGATATGACTTTTTCTTTACACACCTGTGGAGATTGGTTCCAATGTGAATGGCAGGCTTTGAACATGGGACTCGTCCTCTTGTGTTGTATTTTCCAGAGGACACTTCGGTGATTGATCTGTCGGGAAACCCTGGAAAACTTTATTGTGTATGGTTAATTCATGGAAAACAAACCAAGGAACTGAAGAAAAGGCTCAGTTTCAATTTGAATAGGTCATTTTGTCATCAGCATTAAAGACGGTTTTTACTCAAGTTCTTTTGTAGGCATCTACCTCTTGTTTGACTATGATTTCCACACCCACATCTCATTTATTAAAAAACACATTAATGATAAGCTTTCCTACTGGACATTGATGATGGAGACACAAAAGTTATAATGCTCTGTTCTCCAGAACTCACTGATTGCCATGGTAACAGTGGGCATCTGGAAGATATGATGAGTGATGTGACATAAACTCAGTGTTGAGAATAAAGATTGAGCTACCAAATGTAGATGGAGGAAGATGACAGCTCAGCAGGATCTTACATTAAAAAGGTATATTAAGTTTGCTTTTTTCCTATAGAAGAAATAGAAGAAAGTAAAAAGGATAAAACTAGAAAATGCTAGAATTGCTGAAACCAGTTTTCCCAATTAGTCAAATGGACAGAACATGACATTAGGATGGTCCAAAGTTAGTCAGTAATTTCAGATGATGGACTGTGTTGAAAGATTTGTTGAAATAGTCGGTGAATGATAAAGTATTAGGTTTCAGCGTGAGACTCAACATTTTAAATTTTTGCACCAAAACTAGAGAGAAAACAATAAATTTAATGATTTTCATCATCTTTCTAGTCACTTCAGATGTCAGATTTTAAAACGTCATTTAACTGCTAGGAAAAAGTTAGACAGAGATGCAAAAATTCTGAAGTCAAAGAGATAAACTCAAAGTGATAATTTCTTTCTTGAATGTTCTTCTAATCTCCAGTCATATGGCTATTTTATTTCACTGGCCAAAGCTCCTTGGTATTAACAGTCAGTTAAAAGATCATAAAATGTATTCTCTCTTTCCTTCACAGAGCACTGTAATCACCAATAAAAAATCAATTTCTTCTACTTAATTCTAGCCAAAAGACAAAATAAAGATGAGGTTTTCAATTTCCTTCATTTGTGTTACCATAAATCCACGTAAGCTGACCTTCACATTCTCAGACTTCTTTGATTTACATTCCCCCTTTCAGTCCACAACTCATTAGCATAAGAATCAGTCTAGTGTATTCCTTCATAAGTATCTGTTTTTCGATTTTATCCCTTTCTAATTCTTCATTAGGAAAGTGATACACATTCTCTTTGTAACATAAGCATAATCTGCACATTTATGAGTGAATGGAGTGCTTTTTAAAAAATTTGTGGTCATGTTTCCTAAATAGTTAGATGGTTTAGTTATTATTTTTGTAATTTAATCATGAAATGATGAAAGTAACGTTTGAATGTTTGCAATGTGATATAAATTATTCTTAATGTATTGGCTCTATGATGTTTTTAATTAATTCTTAGGGTAACCGAAGCTGTCGGTTTTAGCTACACAATAAAAATTTCTTGGTATCTTTAAGAATTTTGTTCAGTATATTTTTATTGTTGTTAATCCTAGTTTTACCAACTTTCTAAAGTATAAAACAGAAAAGTTTTTATTAGATTTTTTTTTGCTGACTATCTAAAAGGAAAACTTTCTGTTAAAGCCATTTAAAATATTATTGATCAATGCTTATAGACTGAAACCTTCCACTGCATTTATCAGAGTATGTCCTTAAAAAGGAATAGAAGTCATATTTTGCTTTTATATATAATGTATTGCTTTAAAAATTGCTTTTTAAAATATAAACTCTTATATATAATGTATTGCTTTGCAAATTACTTTTTTAAAAACATATATAAGTCTTAGAATATAAAGAAACATTTCTTTTTATCACAAAAACTGTTATCAAAGAGTTTTTTGAACTTCATTTATATTTATACCACTAGTAGTTTTGGTATATTATACATATAATTATTCATATAATTTTTAAAGTAAACTATTGTTCAATTTAAATAATTTATTTTAAAAGAAAAATTTGCATGATTGCCTTAAATGGGGCCTCTTGGTTTCTGGCAAAAATTACACAAGTAAGATCTAATTGTTGAAAAGTAAATTTCATTTATGTCTACAACTATTCATTAGCCAGAGTGATTTGACAAGGACAATAAATGTGTTACATTAAAAATGATTGTGCATGTTATATCTATATATGCCAATTCTCCAAGATTAGTATATTTATTATATATTGTAAATATATACTAATAAATTAAAAAATCATTCAGGCATAATTTTATCATTACATTGCACTTGTAAAAAATAAATAAACCTAAAAGCTGTTTTCAATCTTATTCTTTTAGGCATTGAAGAAGAAAACTAGAAAAAATTGATTTAGAAATTTTTCAACATGTGTATTAATACATAAAAGAAAAATAGTATAGATAAGAAGATGTACATAGTAGGCTGAGGATGTGGTGCAGTAGTAGAGCTCTTACTTTGTACACACATAGTCCCAAATTCAATCCCCAGCACTACAAGTGGGTGCAAAAAAATCTGTAAGGATTTAAGTACTTCCAATGATGGGCAAGTAATGCTCTACAGTGAAAGGGGGTAAAATACCTACATTCATTTTGTTATGCAACTATAAATCTTGTACCAGTGGCTAAAAGAGGCAAAATATTACTTAGAGCAATTTGTCACTATCTAGTTTGTGTTTGATGTTATTATTGCTATTGATTATACTAATTTAAGTCAAGAAGAGCTTGGTGTGAAATATTTTGAGAGGTAAAAGAAAGGACCATCCAACCCAGACTTATGTACCCTGAAAGATTATCTTTCAAAGTTGATGTAAGAAAGTATAAAGATGAGAGTAAGCATTAATATAATTTAGACTAAGAAACAAGACACAGAATCAAAGAAGTGATTCATTAAAAGATTAAATAAAATTGACAAACCATTACTCAACTCAAAGAAATAAAAGACACAAATCCAACCAAATAGGTATGAAAAGAGCAAAATTACAACAGATCCTGAAGAAATCCTGATTATAAGTACTTACTTTGAGATCTAATACTTTAACAAAGTTGATAATTTGGAAGAAATGAACAGATTCCTAGACACATGTGAATTACCAAAACTGATATAAGAAGATATAAAAATGTTAAATAATCCAGAATCTGTCAATGAAATTGAAGAACTAATAAAACAAAAGCCCACCAATGAAGAAAAACTCAATGGCTGATAGATTTACAATTGAGTTTCTCAAGAACTCTAGAGATGAGCTAATGCGACTAATTCTCAAACTCATAACATTGAATGAGAATCAGAACTGTCAAAGTCATTGCTGGAAGCAAGCATTACCCTAAAACCAAAGCCAGAGAAAAATCCAACCATAAAAGAGAACTATAGGCAAATTTCTTTAATTAACATAGATGCAAAAAATTCTCAATAGGATACTGGCAAACAGAATGCAGCAAATCTCTACATTTATACCATGATCAGGTAGGATTCATCCCAGGGATGCAATGATGGTTCAACATACACAAATCAATAAATGTAATACAGCAAATTTTAACACAACCAACGGGGGAAAAACACGTGATCATCTCAATATACAGAAAAGGTATTTGCCAAAATCTAACCCCCACTTATGATAAAAACACTAAAAAATTGGAATAGAAGTTTATCTCAATCTGATAAAAGGAGTCTATGACAAACCAACAGCCAACATCATACTAAGTGGTCAAACCCTGAAAGCTTTCATGCTTTAAAGCAGGAGCAAGATAGACGTCTGCCATCACTACTTTTGTTCAGTGCAGTAAACATTAGCCAGAGTGATTTGACAAGGACAAAAAATAAAAGGAACATGAATGGAAAAACAAGGAGTTAAATTATCATTATTTGATGATGACATAATGTCATCATAAGGCATACTTTATATAGAAGACCTCAAAATTCCATTAAAATATTCCGAGAATTAGCAACCAAATTTCAGTGACAACAGGACACAAAGTCTAAATTCAAAAATTGGTAGCATTTCTGTACACAAAAATCCTCACTATGAGAAAAAGTGAGAAAACAATGGAAAGAAGGAAAATGAAACACTTAGGAAAAATCATTCTAAAGAAGAAAGTGAAAGACTTATGAATTAAACACTGCAGTATTCTGAAAAAGGAGATTGAAGAGGATATCAGAAAGACATTTCCTGTTCTTGGATAGGCAAAACCAACAGAGTGAAAGTGGCCATACTTCCAGAATTGATGTGCAGATATAATAAAATGCCAATTAAAATAACAAGAGCATTTCTAATGGAATTAGAGAAAATAATTCTAAAATTCATATGGAGTCAGAAGAGATGTGGAATAGCAAAAGAATTCTGGGCAACAGGGGAATGCAGGGAGTATCAAATCCTAAAGTTGAAGTTGTAGTACCACAAAGCTGCCATGATAAGTGTGGCAATGGTACTGGTAAACAAACAGACTTCTGGATCAGTGAAACAGAAGAAAAGATGCATAAACAACTCCAAACACAGTCAGATAAGCCATTTTTGACAAAGGGACCAAACACCTTCACTGGAAAAAAGATCGCCTCTTTAATAAGTGGTGCTGGGAAAACTGGCTTTCCACATGCCCAAAATTAATCCTAGATCTATATCTGTCACCATGCAATAAACTAAAGTGAAAATGGATTGAAGAACTAAATATTAAGCTAGAGCCATTTTATCTGCTAGAAGACAGAATAGATAAAACGCTTGAAGATATAGGTGTAGGAAAAGTTAAACAAAACCCCAGTTACATACGAAATATTACAAAGAATCAACAATTGGGATTATACAAACTGAAAAGCTTTTGCATACCACAAAGAAACCCTCACAAAGTGAAGAGACAACCCTTAGAAAAGGAAAAAATAAATACCAGCTACTTCTCAGACAAAGGTTTAATATTTGCAATAAATGAAGAACTCAAAAAAGATAAAAATTCTTCCACAAGACTCAGTCCAAAAATTGGCATCTGAAGTGAATAGACACTTCTCAGACAAAGTAAAACAAATAGCAAATAAATATATGAAAAAATGTTCAACATCACTGATA